AGAACCGTCCAGAACCGCCCAGGACCGTCTAGGACCGCCCAGAACCGCCCAGGACAGTCTAGGACCGCCCAGAACCGCCCAGGACCGCCCAGGACCGTCCAGCACCGTCCAGAACCGCACAGGACCGTCCAGGACCGCCCAGAACCGCCCAGAACCACCCAGGACCGCCCAGGACCGTCTAGAACTGTCTAGAACCGCCCAGGACCGTCCAGAACCGCCCAGAACCGCCCAGAACCGCCCAAAACCGTTCCCCAACGCCAGAACCAGCAGCAGCATTGGCTGCCCCCAGCAGCACCAGCAGCAGCATAGGCTGCCCCTAGCAGACTCAGCAGCAGCATAGGCTGTAGCTAGCAGCCACTCCCCACCGCGCTCGGCCGTCTCTTGCGCCTACCATGGCGTGTGCTAGAGTTCTGCAGCAGCAGCAGGGTCAGCCGCAGCGACAGCAGCTACAGCACTCCCGGCAGTGGGGACCTGAGGGTCCTAGGAGTACCGACCGCAGCAGCGGCTCAGCCAGTAGTGGGCGCGACGTCGGTCCCTGCGGGTACCGGATCCTGACTGGCCCGGGTGCTGGCACCACCTGCTGGAGTCCTGACCACTCTGCGTCCCGCTGCTACCGTCGCCTCGACGACCTCCACCGTGAGCGTTTTGGTCCTCATGCTATTACACCGCACTGGCCCTCGCGTCTTCGCCAGCGCACTGCTGCACCAGTTGAGTCTCACCTACCTGATCTAGGACCGTTCCCGGCTGCACGAGTAGAGACCTGTGTTTCCAGTCTTGGTGCGTATGTTGTTTCCAGTCCGGGCCCCTCTGAGCGTCTTTGTGTTGAAGCTGCAGCTACCGCTAGTCTAGCACCAGCCTTTGTCGCTGGCTCGGGTGCGACCTCACAGACTGCACAGCTTTCCTTCACCCTAGACTCTGGAGGGTCCAACTGCTTCTTTCGCGACTGTACTGACCTCACACCACTGTGCACTCCAGTCACTGTCGCTTTGGCTGACCCGTCCGTGGGACCTGTAGTTGCCCGCAGCACCACCACTCTCCCGTGTCCGGCGGCTCCCTCTGGGTTTCTCACAGGTTACTACACCCCCAGGTTCTCCAGGAACCTAGTGGGTGTCAGTCACCTCCACGACCTAGGCGTAGTCACTACTTTCCCACTGGACGAGCCAGTTGCCCCCTGCACAGTCGGTGCCACTGGGGCGCCTCTGGCCACTTTCCACAGGGAGCCGGGCTCTGGTCTGTACTCACTACACACAGGGTCCCACCACACTGGGTCAGGTCAGGTCAGGTCAGGTCAGGTAGCTGCTGTGTCGTGCGACTGCCGGTCACTCACCCACCCGTCGGTCCTCTGGCACCACCGTCTAGGTCACCCGTCGTTCCCACGTCTCAGTAGGATGGCACGTTACCGTCTGGTCTCAGGTCTCCCACAGTCGCTTGCCCCGCTTCCTCGCTTGCCTGCGCCGCCGTGCACTCCTTGCGTCGAGGGTCGGCAGCGCGCTGCCCCTCACTCCTCCTCGTTCCCCTCCACCACGGCTCCCTTCCAGACCCTGCACTTGGACGTTTGGGGCCCCTCCCTGGTCCGTGGCCCACGTCAGGAGCGCTACTTCCTGATTGTGGTGGACGACTACTCCCACTACACCACGGTTTTCCCCTTGCGACGGAAGGCCGACGTGCCTACCGTCCTCGAGTCGTGGCTACTAGCGTGGGGTGACGCCCAGGCCCTTTGTGGGCTCCGCTTGCACTCGGACCGTGGTGGTGAGTTTTCTTCCACTCGCCTAGAGACGTTCTGTCAGGGTCGGGGGATCCTCCAGTCTTACACGCTACCAGCCTCGCCGCAGCAGAACGGGGTAGCCGAGCGACGCATCGGCCTGGTCATGGAGGTTGCCCGGACCTCCATGTGCCATGCCGGTGCCCCCCAGTTCCTGTGGCCTCAGGCAGTCCGCTGCGCCGCGCACCAGCTGAACCAGTGGCCCAGTGACGCACGGCCATGGGTGACGCCGGCCTCCCTTTGGACAGGTTCTCCGGGCGTAGCAGCTGACTTCCGCGTCTGGGGTTGTCTGGCTCACGTTCGCGCCCCTGGCGCGAACAAGTTGTCTCCGCGCACTCGTGCCTGCGTCTTTCTTGGCTTCCCTTTGGACACCGCCGGCTGGGTGTTCTACGACCCACTCACCTACGAGTTCTTCAGTTCCCAGGACGTCACGTTCGATGAGTCTGTCTGTTACTACAAGAGTCGCCCCCACCGAGGTACTGAGGTCTTTTCCCCCCCGCTGTTCCTCACCCTTGAGCCCCCCCCAGTAGCCCCGGTAGCCCCCCCCCCCTTCGCGTCCTGCCCCGTCAGGTGTGTCGCACGTCACTTCGCAGTCGTCCCCCCCGCAGCGTCCAGTCCCTGTCGTGTCTGGGGGTGCGGGAGGTGCCGTTGCGGAGGGTGAGGGTGCTGGGGCTGCTGGAGCTGGTGGTGTCAGTTCTGGGGGTGCAGGGGGTGTTGGCGTGGAGGTCACTCTCGTGGAGGACACGTCAGCCTCGACTAGGCGGCCTCGCCCCGCGTCACCCCCTGGCTTCCCGTCCGTCCCGCAGTTCCCTCCTCGTTCTTCTCTGCGGTCGGTTGCTGCGGAGCCTGGGGGTGTTCCTGCGGGAGGTACTGGAGGCCCCGGGGGTGTCGGTGGTGGAAGTGCTGGTTCTGGGGGTGCTGGAGCTGGAGGCACTGGCACTCTGGCGCCTACACTGCGCACTGTACGTTTCCTAAACCGTGAGCAGCGTCTCCTCCGGTTGGAGAGGGAGGAGCGTGAGCGGTTTGAGAGGGCACAGCAGCAGCAGCAGCAGCAGCAGGAGCAGTCTCAGTCGCAGCAGCAGGAGAGAGTAGAGGAGGAGTCACAGCAGCAGCACGTGCAGTTGCAGCTGCAGCAGGAGAGAGTAGAGGAGGAGTCACGAGTGCAGCAGCAGGTGCAGTTGCAGTCGCAGCAGGAGAGAGTAGAGGAGGATTCACGGCCGCACCAGGAGAGGGTAGAGCAGGAGTCCCGCCCGCAGCAGCAGGTGCAGTTACAAACCCAGCAGGAGAGAGTAGAGGAGGAGTCACGGCCGCAGCAAGAGAGGGTAGCGCAGCAGTCCCGGTCGCAGCAGTGGGTGCAGCTGCACTCGCAGCAGGAGAGGGCAGAGGCGGAGCCACAGGAGCAGCAGCAGGGGCTGGTACCGTCGCAGCAGACGCCAGAGGAGGCGGAGCAGCAGCGACTGCGACTCCGCGACCTCCCCGACCCAGCACCTGCACGCTTTGTTCGTGGTCCCCTACCGTCCCCTCCTGTTCCCCCTGTTGAGTCCCTTTCCTCGTCTCAGTGGACTCGTCGTTCTCCCCTCAGTCGTGCTGTGTCCCCAGAGCGTCGTCGGTCCCGTTACCGTGCAGACGGTCCGTTCCACCTTGTTCTTCGCTCTCGTGTTCCACGTCCTCCTGTCCTTCCACAGCCCCCTGAGTCGTCCCTCACTGTGCTTCACGACCTGTTGTCCGACTACCTCCGTGCCTCCTGTCCTGTCGTCTCCCGTGTTTTGTCCGCGTTGGTCACTCACTCGACTGCACCTCTGTCGTCTCTCTCAGCACATGTTACCACTGTCGCTGGCTTTGCCTCTTCCCACCGCCTTGACTACGCTGCTCACCTGGTGAGTGGCCCTGCTCGTTCTCCGTTCTCTGGGGGTGCTTCTGTCTTTCCCCTGGAGGTCCTCGACGACAGGCAGTTCGAGCTTGGTTTCCTTGCGGCCGCTGTTCCTCATCTCTGCGCCATGTTGCTTGCCCCTGAGGGGGATCCAGACGCTCTTCACATCCCGATCCCTCGCACACACGTTGAGGCGGTGTCGGGACCTTGGGCCTCGTACTGGATAACAGCTGAGGAGGCAGAGATGGCATCTTATAGGTCCACAGGCACCTACGTCGACGCTGTTCCGCCACCTGGGGCGAACGTTGTCAGTGGCATGTGGCTCTACAAGGTGAAGCGGCCGCCTGGATCACCACCGGTGTTTAAGGCGCGTTACGTGGCGAGAGGCTTCAATCAGCGAGAGGGGGTAGACTTCTTCCAGACCTTCGCTCCCACCCCAAAGATGACCACTCTTCGGGTGTTGCTGCATATAGCAGCTCAGCGCGACTACGAGTTGCACTCCTTGGACATCTTCACAGCGTTCCTACAGGGGAGCCTTGTCAACATATATTTTATATGTGTTGTTTAGGTTAGTCTAGGTGTTACGTTTCTACTTACTTGCATGATTAGGGTTTGCTATATCTAGGGTTGTACTTCACATTTTCTATCAATTCATTCTTATCGTAACATGGTATAGAGCTAGGTTTCCCTTAGGCGATTTTTCCCCTAGGCGATTTTTTCCCTTAGGCGAAATTTCTCTCGATAGTCTATGGGCCCACCACCCGCGCGCCTCGTAGCGACCCATAGCCCGAAGCGCCCTGCCCCGTAGAGCCCGAGTAGGTCGCGCCCCCCCGTCGACATCGCGCGTCACCCGTTTCTGCCTTGCGCCCCACCCGTTTTTGCCGTGCGTCACTCGTTTTCTGCCCCGCGCCCCACTCGTTTTACCCCGCGCGTTTCCCCCCAGCCCTCTAGCGCGCAGCAGACGAACGCGCGTAGCTGCGCGCGCAGCCTTAGTCGCACCCGCAGCTTCGCGCTAGTACGTCGCGGCCGCGCGCACGTGCAGCCCACCGTCTTAACCGCCCCCCAGACCTGAAAACCCGCCATTACAGACCTGAAAACCGCCGCCGAACTTGGAAACCCGCCGCCCCAGACCTGACAACCGCCGCCCCACCTGGAAACCTGCTGCCCCACCCGTTCCAGGCACCTCACCCGGGATCAGCCGCCCCACCCAGTCCTCTCCACCGCATTGAACCGCACAGAACTGCACATAACTGCACAGAACCGCACAGAACCGCCGCCTTAACAGCTTCCCCACCTGAAAACCATCGCCCCAGACCTGACAACCGCCGCCCCACCTGGAAACCTGCTGCCCCACCCGTTCCAGGCACCTCACCCGGAATCAGCTGCCCCACCCAGTCCTCTCCACCGCACCTCCAGGTCAGCAGCACACACCTCCAGGTCAGCCGACTCGTCGATGAACAGTGGATTTTTGCCGCCCAGCTCCAGAGTGACAGGTGTCAAATGCTTACTGGCCGCCTCCATCACAATGCGCCCCAGTGCCGTGCCGCCTGTAAAGAAGATTTTATCCCACCGCCGCCCCAGCAGCGCCTTGCCTGTCTCTGGGCCGCCTTCCACCACCTGCTGATTTCAGGGCAGGGGCAAGGGCAGAGGGGGGAAAGAAGAACAAGGTAAGAAGGAAGGGAAAGGGGGGTAGAAGCACATTTGTGATTATGCATTTAGCTGCCTGCTACTGTACCACAAAGAACCTGCCTGATATAGTACCTGCCTCGAATACACTTGGCTCAGATGCACTTGCCGCAGATATCACCTGAAGCAGATGGCACCTGCCTGAGATAGCACCTGGCTGGCTCGGATAGCACCTGGCTGGCTTGGATAGCACCTGGCTGGCTCGGATAGCACCTGGCTGGCTCGGATAGCACCTGGCTGGCTCGGATAGCACCTGGCTGGCTCGGATAACACCTGGCTGGCTCGGATAGCACCTGCCTGAACGGCCTGAGAGTCGAGGTAGAGGGGGAGGAGGCGCGAGAGGAGGTGCGAGCAGGCGGGGGAGAGCTCTGAGGGCTTCAGCACCACCACGTTGCCCGCTGCTAGCGCTCCCAGTAGCGGCTCCAGTGACAGCACTTGGGGATGGAAACACGAGATAGAGTGGATAGGAGAGTGGATAGGAGAGATGGCAACTTGAGAGCTCTGAGGGCCTCAGCACCGCTGCGTTGCTCGCTGCTGGCGCTCCCACTAGCGGCTCCAGAGACAGAACTGAGGGGGGTTGACATGGAGAGGAAGGGACAGGAGAGGGAGGGAGAAGGAGAATGCTGGGATGGGAGTGCTGTGAATGCACAGAAACCACAGGAACCGGGATACAGAAAATTGAACGGTGCCAAGACAAACGACTTGGAGGTCCAAAACAGAACAATCAAACTCTGAAAAATCCAGAACAAAACAGAAAGCAGAAGAAAGTGGGTGGAGGTGGGGCGTACGGAAGGGGAAGTTCCAGAGGGCGAGATGATGAGCACCACTCCCAGTGAACAGCAGCGAGGTGCCATGACATGACATTTACATGACGTGTCCCGTAGGGGGAAGTTGTAAGGAGAAGCGGTGGGGAGGGGACGTACAAAAGGGGAAGTTCCAGGGCGAGATGATGAGCACCACGCCCAGCGGCTCATACAGCACCTCTGACCGCCCTGGCCTCAACAACAGCGGCGTGCCCACCTGGTGGTGTGGGGGAGGGACGACCAGACGCAAGTGCAGGCGTCAAATGAGAGGAAAGTGCCACTCCTCTGCTGCGTCATTTGACCGGTCCCACCAGCTAGCATCTGAGGCACATCAGCTCGCACTGAGGCACATCAGCTCGCACTGAGGCCAAGGTTAAAAAATACGGTCGTTTTTTTGAAAAGTTACGGTAAAAAACGGTTTCGTATAATAGGCTCTTGTGAGAAATCGTAGAGAAATTTCAATAAAACGACCGTATTTTTTAACCTTGACTGAGGCACATCAGTGCAACACTCACTCGCACTCCAAGGGGGCCCCACCCCTATGCCCTCCCCTTACTCCCCCCCCCCTCCCCCCCCCCCATCCAAGGCCCCAATCCCCGCCCACCCAAGCCCCCTCTTCCCTGGCCACCGGGGCGCACCTTCTGTGGTTGCACCCATTTCTTGAAGTGCTTCAGCATGTGGCTCGCCGCCTTCCACACGCCCAGCACCTGCGGGCGGATTGGGTTGGGTTGGGGGGGTGAGTGGGTGGGAAGAAGAGCAGCAGTATGCAATGCAGGTCCGCACCGTACCTGCAGGTCGCTTCAACAATTGGATCGCCACGTTCCACACGCCCCGCACCTGCAGGCGGATTGGGCTGGGTGGGTTGAGTGGGAACAGAAATGTGAAATGAAGAACGAGAAAAAATGTTTGAACTATGAATGAAGTGAGTACATATGGGAAACCCTAATTGGGTTGTACCCCTTATGGGATACCCCACTATAGCCTACACAACAGCATAAGCTATATAATGTTCTGACACACCCCCATAGGCAAAGTGGGGGAGAACAAGGGGTCACAAGACCAGTCAAGCAAAGCAGAGCAAGCTCAGGGTGGATCACAAAGTCACCACACAGTCCGAGCACAACGACAAGGCCACAAGGCCAGTTCACATGCAGGAGTACACATATATATATAGAGCTAGACAAGCAAGAGCAGGTATATATATGTAACAGTACAAGCAAGGTCAAGAAGAGAGCAAGTGAGGCAAGACAGGTACAAGACCCAGCTGGGTGCAGAAGCGCTGATGGTCACAAGGCGCAAGTGCCTTGGTGAACACATCAGCAGTGTTGGCCGCAGAGGCCACGTAAGCAAGTCGCAACTGACCACGCTGCTGCAGCTCACGAGCAAGAAAGTAACGGAGAGCAATGTGCTTCGTTCTGTGCTCCAAGCGCTGCTCTCGACACAAGGCCAGCATGGCCTTGTTGTCTACGTACAGCACTGGAGGAGAACGAGGCGGCTCTCCAAGGTCAGTCAGCAGGTAGGTGAGCCAGCGAAGCTCCTGTGCAGCCATGGCCCCGGCGTAGATCTCAGCCTCACAACTGGAGCCGAGAACAGAGGACGAGCGAGTAGCCCGCCACGAGACAGAGCCGGAACCAAGACTGAAGGCGTAACCCTGCGACGACCGCTGCGTAGCCTGGTCGTCAGCCCAAGAAGCGTCCGCGTGCCCAGTGAGGACCACTGGACTCCGCCCTCCAAGCACTAGCCCCATGCCCGACGTACTGCACAAGTAGCGCAACACCCTCTTCGCTGCAGCCATGTGCTCTGGTCGGTGTCTCCCAGGAGCAACATAGCGTGCAAGAATGCTAAGAGGGTATGCAAGGTCAGGTCGTGTGCAGGTCATCAGGTACATGAGGCAGCCAACAAGCTCTGGGTACGGGCCACTCGACTCTACGGACTCATCCGAAGGCAGAGCTGAGAGCGAGTGGCGAGTAGACAGAGGAGTGGCCTGAGGCGAGGAGTACGTGAAGCCGAAGCGCTGAAGGACCTGCTGCACCATGTGTGACTGAGTCAAGGTAATGGTGCGGCGTGCTCTGTCCCGAGTGATCTGCAAGCCAAGGTAGCTGCGCAGTTCACCCAGGTCTGTGCACGTGTGTCTCTTCTGCAGCTCGGACTTCACGTAGGCTAGTCCAGCCGTGTCAGCTGTGGCAAAGACCAAGTCGTCGACGTACACGAGGACGTAGAACGGCGGCAGAGAAGTGTCGGTGCGCAGAAACAACGACGGGTCAGCAGTAGAGGGAGCAAACCCAAGAGCCGCAAGCGTAGTCCTCAGTGTGTCGTGCCACTCACGCGGTGCCTGGCGGAGACCGTAGACTGGCCGTCGGAGGCTCCACTGGGTGCCAGGAGGGAAAGTCCCAGTGAAGCCAGGTGGACGGCGCAGCCAGATCTCCTCGTGCAGGCTACCCTGCAAGAAAGCAGTACTGAAGTCAAGAGAGTGGAGCTCGTAGTCGCGCTGAGCGGCTATGTGCAGCAGCACCCGAAGAGTGGTCATCTTCGGGGTGGGAGAGAAGGTCTGAAAGTAGTCAACTCCCTGCCGCTGACTGAAGCCACGAGCGACGTACCGCGCCTTGAAGATAGGTGGAGAGCCCGGCGGCCGCTTCACCCTGAAGATCCACATGCCACTGACGATGTTCGCCCCAGGAGGGGGAACCGCGTCAACGTAGGTGCCTGTGGACTTCCAGGACGCCATCTCTGCATCCATAGCTGCCTGCCACTGAGAGGAGTAGGGACCCTCTACGGCCTCCGCGTAAGAGCGCGGAGTCGGGATGTCTAGTGCATCCGGGTCTCCCTCAGGGGCAAGTAGTACGGACGCGAGATGAGGTGAAGCAGCAGCCAGACACCGGAACTCCTCCTGCCTGTCCTCAAGGACGTCCGTGCCAAGAGCACACTCACCCCCGACGGACGGAGGACAGACAGACGCAGACTCAGCAACAAGACCGGCAGCGTAGTCTAGACGACAGCAAGCAGCAAAGTCGACAAGCTCAGCAACAAGCGCAGACGCAGCAGTGGACTCAAAAGAGGGGTCAGTGACGACAGTAGCAAGGAGACGTGTGACAGCAGGACTGGCAGCACGAAGAGAGTCCGACTCCGGGTCAGGAAGAGCAGGAAGAGAGGACTCAGGAGGAGAAGGCAAAGGGGCACGCAGAGGAGCAGTGGACGGACGCAGAGACATCCGGTGCGTGCCAGGGACAGGAGGAGGACGCTGACGCGAACCACGACCACTAGTGCGAGCAGCACGGACAGGCGACGCAGGGCGAGACGCAGGCTCACGACGCTCAGCAAGACCTCCAGTAGGACCAGTGTAGGGAGAAGGAGCGGGCAGTGGGGAGGCCGGCTGTAACTGTAACTGTGACAGGACAGGCTGTGGACACTCTAAGGGAGGAGGAGGACCAGTAGAAGGCGGGAGACCAAGAACCTGCTGAAGGAGCGGAACGAAGTACGGCCTAGGCCGCGCGGCGACTCCAGACACAGCAGGGACAGCACCAGTACCCCCAGCGGCAGCACCAGCGCCAGTAGCACCTCCAGCTCCAGGACCTCCAGCAGCACCAGTAGCACCCCCAGCAGGACCGTCAGCAGTAGCCTCAGCTCCAACACCCTCAGCAGCTCCAGCTCCAGCACCTCCGGGACCCGCGGCACCAGCACCCTCAGCAGCCGAAGAACCTCCAGCCCCAGCAGCACGCCTCCAGCGCCTGGCAAACCACTCGCGCAGCTCCTGTGGAGAGAGGGGCTCCCGCCGAGGCGAAGCACCCGGAGAAACGCCAGGTCCCGCACCGCCAGACGGCACAAGGGGAGGTCCAGTGGCCGCAGGCTCAGCAGCTCCAGGCTCAGCAGCTCCAGACGCAGCACCCCCTGGCTCAGCACCCCCAGACTCCGCACCCCCAGGCTCAGCACCCCCAGTCGCAGCACCCCCAGGCTCAGCACTTCCAGACTCCGCACCCCCAGGCTCAGCACCCCCAGTCGCAGTACCCCCAGGCTCAGCACCCCCAGACTCAGCACCCTCAGGCTCAGCACCCGCAGCAGGACCAGAGTCACCAGCAACCTCGACCGGCTCGACTGCGTCTACCTGGGACACACCTGAAGGGGCAGGACCCTGAGGGGGAAGGGGGTCTACCGGGGGGGGACCTGGCACAAGGAAGTGCGGTGGCGGGGGGAGGGAAGAAGTGCGGTAGGGGAAGAGGCGGTAGAAGGGGACTGACTCGTCGAACGTGACGTCCTGGGAGGACAGAACACGACGAGAGGAGGGGTGGTAGAACTGCCACCCTGGAGCGTCAGGGGGGAAGCCGAGGAAGACACAGGGAGCAGCACGAGGGGACAGCTTGTCCGCAGACAAGTCGCGGACAAACGCCCGAGATCCCCAGACCTTTACGCTTCCGGACTCTCCACAGCAAAATGGGCCGCAGGTAGGGCGGCTGGCGGGCCGCAGGTAGGGCAGCGGGCGGGCCGCGACGTGAGGGCGGCGGGGCCGCTGTAGTGGGGCGGCGGGGCCGCTTAGCAGAGGGCGGCGGGGCCGCGTGAGCAGGGCGGCGGGGCCGCGTGAGCAGGGCGGCGGGGCCGCGAAGCAGAGGGCGGGCGGGCCGCGACGTGAGGGCGGCTGGGCCGCTGTAGCAGGGCGGCGGGGCCGCTTAGCAGAGGGCGGCGGGGCCGCGTGAGCAGGGCGGCGGGGCCGCGAAGCAGAGGGCGGCTGGGCCGCGCGAGCAGGGCGGCGGGGCCGCGAAGGAAGGGCGGCGGGGCCGCGTTAGTAGGGCGGCGAGGCCGCGAAGGAAGGGCGGCAGGGCCGCGTGAGCAGAGTGGCGGGGCCGCGAAGGGAGGGCGGCGGGGCCGCGAGGGGCGACACGGAGGGTCGTTAAAAAAAAAAGGAAAACGCGCCTCGGGGCGCGCTTCGGTGGGCCCTAGAAGCAGTCCCTAGGAGGGGACCTGCTCTGATTCCATGTGAAATGAAGAACGAGAAAAAATGTTTGAACTATGAATGAAGTGAGTACATATGGGAAACCCTAATTGGGTTGTACCCCTTATGGGATACCCCACTATAGCCTACACAACAGCATAAGCTATATAATGTTCTGACAAGAAAGACGGCTGTCACAGAACTATGCAATGAAAATGCAGGTTGCATGTAACTAGGCGCATGGCACCCGCACAGCGGGCGGATTGGGTTGGGGATATACTAGTTCCAAATCGGAGGCGGGCGGCAGGACGAGGCAGGCTGAGCAGCAGCCATCATGCCGCCCTTCCGCCATGCGCACCAGATGCCCATCGCCCATCAGACGACGTACCTCAATAAGGGCCTCCATGCGGCCGCGGCCCAGGTCGGCGTTGAGCGCCGCCATCATGTCGTCCTCGTGCTCCTCCGCCATGCGCACCAGATTGCGCAGCTGCTGCTCGCGCCACGCCAAGTTCCGCGTCTCGCCCGACCGGAATTTCAGACGAAGCTTCGCCAGGAGGTTCTCCGCGGCGGCGTCGTCAAAGGTCTCGCCTTTCCTGCCGCCTTCCTCCACGCACGCCGCCGCGCTGCCGCCCTGGTACGGCCGCTCCATGCTGAGAACGAGACTTCTACTGTCTAAGAAAAAGAGGGTCGTGGTCAAGTGGAATGCGACGCGCGGGATGAGGCTGGGAATCGGGACGACGAAGCGAAAACGACTCGTTTTCGGAGTGCGAAACACGTAGCAACGAGGTTGATCGTGAAGGCTAGTAGTATCACTTGGCGGCACGCGCGCTGAAGGACAGCAGGTAACGATTGACGAGCAAGATCGTCCAGCAAATGGCAGCAAAAGGTGCGAAAGCAGGTTGGCTGAGTGTCTCAGGCGGATGAACTCGTCGTCGCTCCCTTTTGCCCGTGGGAATGACACCGTCCTTTGCTCCCAGCAGCGACGGGCCGGCGGACTGGCAAGCTGGACGACGAGCGAGAAGCTGGGCGACGAGCGACGAGCTGGGCGACGAGCTGGGCGCAGGCTTCCAAGTAAAGACGGCCCGGCTTAGATCCCTGTTGACGCTTGGAACAATCAACGTGACAATGGTTCCAGATGAGATTATACGGGATTCTCAGTGATAAGGGCGGGGTCAGCGCGTTCATTTATCACGTCTGTACAGTTCATCCGTCGTGGCGCAAAAGGATTTTAGACGGTTCACAGCGGTTCCTAAGAATTACCGATTTAAACCGTGACGCAACGAGAGTAACCGCTCAGAATGAACTGTACATCAGCAATAAACGAACGCGCTGACCCCGCCCTAAGGCTTGTCGGTTGTCGGTAGAGCTACTGGTGATAAGGCCGCTTCTGCTTCTGCTGCTGGGACTGCGAGATGAAACCAGAACTTTGAAAGCCATCATCATGTGCGGCTGAAAAAACAAGGTACCGAGAGGAGTCCGTTTTGCACCGAGGGATTTCTTGGCTCCACCCCGTCCGGACTCCGCCAGAGAGACAGATGCTGCTTGCATCCCGCTTATGTCGCCCGCGGAGCGGAGCCCTTCCCCCGCCAGCGCGCCCGTGACGCGGCGACAGGCATCCAAAAGGCTAGTTCTGGCCGGGATCCGAGGTTGCCTGGCGGGGCTGCAAAGAAGTGCCACCGTCGTGGAAGCCTCGCGGACTGTCTTCCCTTAGCATTCTCGGAAGCACCCTGTGATTGCCTGGCGGGCCCGCAATGTGTCTCACCATTACTATGGCGGGCCGGCCGTTTGAGTCTCACTGCACTGCGATGTGGCCCTACACATACAACCTAGTCCGCGCTATTTTAACCACGTGAACTGTTGTGTTTCAACCACCCTTTGTTCGTTTTCAGGTAATGAGATGGGCACCCAGAGACTTCAGGGCTATTATTTTACAGCCTGAAGCATTTCCGTCTAAAGAAACTCACACTTTGTTATGAGTTGTAATGGAGAGTGCGCGGAATAACGAATAACGAAGCTGTGACTCAATGAACTGTCAATTACAATGAAGGCACGCGACTATATAGTGAATACCCTAGCTAGGAGGGAACCTCGGGTAACGAGGTTGGGTGCAGGTTTGGCGACGGAAAGCCGAAGGCGACGCGGAGGAGCTTCGGCATCGTTGATGTCGGCCGAACGTGCAAGTCCGAAAATCGGGGTTGTACGCGTAGCAGTCAACCCCGGTAAGGATAAAGGAAAAATCCTTACACTACCCCCCCCTTTAAGCAAGGTGGTCAATATCTGCAACTCGCTTGCGGGCGAAATAATCACCAAGAAGCGGAGAAGCTTCAAGCGATGCGGATGGCACCCACGTGTCGTCCTCACTGGTGCGGTCAGTCCATCGGACTAGAAAGTCCACGTGGCGTCCAGTGGCGTTGAGCCGGATCCGATGTCCGAGAATCTTCGAGGGGTCGGTGGTCGGTTCCGGGACAGGTCGAGCTGTCGGGGCGGCGTTCTGGCGCGCAATGTCTGTCGTGGTTGGCACGAAGTTGCGAAGGAGGCTGACATGGAAGGCGTCGTGTATACGCCAGTCGTCGGGTAGTAGCAGCTTCGCAGTGACAGGTGTCACCATCTGGATAATGCGGAAAGGCCCACAAAATCGTGGGCGTAGTTTGTTCGAGCCGGGCAGGCGTAGGTTTTTCGTGTCGAGTAGCACTAGTTGCCCAGGCGTCATGACGATTTCTCGTCGTAGAAGATCCGAGTATTTCCGGGCAGTAATATTCGCCTTGCGAATAGCGTCGGCTGCTTTCTCGCGAATCTCTTGAAGTTCTGTCACAAATGTTTGTGACCGTGGGACCGGGTTGTCGAGTGTCGTGGTGGTTGGCACCACCGGGTCCATCCCATAGTTCAGGAAGAACGGGGAGTGATTAGTCGTGCTAGACGGTGCGTTGTTGAACGCGAACTCCAGCATGGCGAGTGACATTTCCCAGCGAGTTGGGTCGGGGCAGTTTGTCCTGATCAGCTGCTCCATCGTCTGATTCGTTCGCTCGGTCTGTCCGTCGGTTTGCGGATGGTATGCCGATGAAAAATGTAGCTTTGTTCCATACTGCGCCCACGTTTCCTTCCAAAATCTTGAAGTGAACTTTGGGTCCCTGTCGCTAACGATCGCTGACGGGATTTCGTGCAGTCGCACGACGGTTGAGATGAAGAGGCGCGCAGTTTCTTCGGCTGTGATTGTTGTGCGACACGGTGCGAAGTGTGCCATCTTCGTGAAGCGATCGACGACGACGAGTACCGCGTCGTTCCCGGATGGCCCAGCTGGCAGCCCCGTGACGAAGTCCATCGTCACCTGTTGCCATGGTCGCTCGGGTGGCTCCAGTGGTTGCAGCAATCCAGCTGGCCGCTGTCGTGTCGATTTCATGGCTTGGCACACCCTGCATGAGGACACATATCGCTGCACGTCGTTAGAGGAATCGGGCCAGTAATATTGACGGTGCAACTGTTTCTGGGTTTTATCAACCCCGAAATGTCCGGAGAGGTTTGAATCGTGGACCTCTTGGATAAGGAGTTCACGCAGCAGCCGGTAAGCGGGAACCCAAATCCGGCCAGTTCCGGCCTTTAGGTAATAGTTCCCCTTTTGCGTCGTTGCCTGCTGGTGATTTCCAGTCGTGAAGTACGGGTCCGTAGTGTAGCCGTGGTTGAATAGTCCCGTAAGTAGTGGGGTCGAGTGGGTGATGAGTACTGCAGCGGATTGAACTGTTGGTCGGGTAAGGGCGTCGGCGATGTTATTCGCCCCTTTCTTGTACGTGATGCGGTAGGTGAAGTGGCTCTCCATGTAATCGAGCCAACGAACTTGTCGCGGGTTGAGGTTGGGCTGAGCTCGCAGGTACTGTAGGGACTTGTGGTCCGTACGAACAGTGACGTCGGCGCCCACCAAGTAGCAGCGCCATAGTTTGAACGCATGTATAATTGAGAGCATCTCCTTGTCGTGTATCGGGTAGTTGCTCTCGGCAGACTGCAGCTTGCGTGATTCGTAGGCAATCGGATGCAGGCCGTCTCCGAAATCCTGGAGGAGTACAGCTCCGATGGCGAAATCTGAGGCGTCGGTGATGACTTCGAACGGCTTCGATGGATCGGTGATGCGTAGAACCGGAGGGGATACCAGAAAATTCTTCAGTTCCCGAAAAGCCGCCTCTGCTTCCTCCCCCCACACAAAATTGATGTCCTTGTGCAGCAGGTCGGTTAGCGGGCCAGTTATCCCCGCCATATTCGGGATAAACCTCCTGACATAATTCACGAACCCCAGAAAACTCTGAAGTTCCGTGATGTTGGTCGGGGACTTCCACTCCTGTATAGCCTTGATTTTCGCCGGGTCGATTTTTATGCCCTCGCGGGAGATGACGTGTCCCAAAAACTCCAACTCTTGCTTAAAAAACTCGCACTTAGAGCCTTTGGTGATGAGGCGGTTCTCCTGTAGTCGCTGAAAAATCGCGTCGAGGTCGCGGAGGTGTTGTTCTCTTGTCCTGCTGAAAATCAAAATATCGTCCAAGTAGACTATAACACATTTGTCAATAAATTCCATGAAAACTCGGTTCATGGTCAGTTGAAAAGTCGACGGCGCGTTTGTGAGGCCGAACGGCATCACTTGGAATTCGTAGCTTCCGTAGCGGGTGCGGAACGCGGTCTTGTAACAATCTTCTGTGAAGACCCGTATCTGGTGGTAACCGCCATGCAAGTCGATTTTCGAGAAATAGCGAGCGCCGCGAAGTTGGTCGAGGAGGTCGTCGGTACGTGGGATTGGGTAGCGAGACTTGATTGTAACCCGGTTGAGCGCGAATAATCAATACACATGCGAAGCCCACCGTCCTTTTTCGGGGTGAACAGGATCGGGGCCGCGTAGGGAGACGTACTGGGTCTGATAAACCCCTTCTCCAACAAGCCATCAAGTTGGCTTCGCATCTCCTCGAGTTCCGGTTGGGTCAACCGCCACTGTGTACGAACAGTCGGCTGCGCGCCAGGTTCCAGCTGTATTTTGTGGTCCTCGGGTCGTTCGGGTGGTAGTCCAGGTGGCAGGTCGTCGGGGAAGATGTCTGGGTACTATCGTATCAGCTCCGCTAAATCCGGCGGTACAGCTGCACACAGCTTCTCGATGTCTTGTCCGTCGGTGTCGGTTGCCAACGTGCGTAAGCATACAGCGTACAGCTGCGCGCCCCTGTTGAAGTGGCGAGCTATAGTGATAGCTTTGACGCACGGGGCTTGGATGTAGTCAGGTGTCCATGCAGGCAGTTTAACTAGCCCCTCGTGCTTGTTGATGCAGCACGATCCCGTTGTCCAGTCGATGACGGGGTTGTGCCGTCGCAGCCAATCACGTCCCAGCAGCACGTCGCAGCCATCCAGAGTCGTCGCGAGAAACTTCATGCTGAAGCCGAAAATGTCGCCGCACTCAATCCTCACCGTCCGTGTTTCTTCCAAAATCGCCAGAGGCGTCCCATCCACGAGGCGAGCGTCAATTTCGGGCAGACACCTGACAAGTTGCAGCTTGCATTTTTTTGCTGTCGCCAAGTTGAAGAGGCTATGGCTGGCCCCTCCGTCGACGAACATTTTCAGAGTAATTTTTAACACTGTGCCAACGACCAGCACGGGGTGATCCACATGATTATCCCCGTTATTCGGCCGAGTGCGATCGATTGCATGAATCGGAACCACTACTCGGTGGGGATGTTGGTGTTCGGGCGACGAAGTATAGTCAGTAAGGGGCCCGTAAATTACTGACTCTTCCCATTTCCCTGCTCCCTCCTGTTGTTCCCCTTCGCCGGTGTATTCTCGGGGCATTCTCTTGCGTAGTGACCCGTCTTCCCACACTTAAAACACGTCCCTGTAAAGGGGCGGTCCGGTGCGTGGACTCCGTTGATTGTGGCCCGTTGGGTCTGTCCACAAAAACGGATTCCCTCCCGGGAACCTGCCCTCGCATACTGCATCAACGCGTCTGTAGACTCAGCTAACCGTATGGCTTCCAGAAACGAAGTCGGGCGGCATCGGCGCACCTCGTAATGTATCTCATATTTCAGGCCGCCGATGTATTTATCTAACCGCTCTGCTTCCGCCATGTCGTCCACTTGGTCAGCAAAGGCCATAAACGACGCCGTGTAGTCTTGAACAGATGCCATCTGCGACCAGTTACGCAGCTTCATGCGAGCTTGCTCCGAGGCGGATACGTGCTCGAAGCGATCCCGTAAGGCTGCGCCCCACTCCTTCCACGTGCGTATCTTGGTCACTCCGAAGATTGAGGTTGCCCCTTGATCAGCCGATATCAAGGTCCCGTCTGCCGCATGTGTCACACCTGTCGGAGTCCCTGTGTCCAAGGTGTGGCGCCACCATTCAAGCGCTGCGCCTCGAAGTAGAGAAACCACGTAATTAATACGCGTGACATCGTCGTAGACGTTCGCTGCAGTGAAGAAGACTTCAACGCTGAACAGCCACCCCTTCACTGTAGTCGTCTTGTCCGTGGGATTGAACTGGGGCGGGTTCGCAGGTTTAATCTTGATCGTCGTAACTGCAACTGGCGTCATTGCCGCTCGCTGCCTGTCTTCTTCTTCGAAGCCACGTGTGAGCGCGTCGAAAGGATTGCTCATCGCTTGACGGTTGCCTTCACCTTCTTCATCGGGCGACTCCTGACGCGTTTCACCTCGCGCCTGGCGTAGCTCGGTGTTTTCCACACGTAGTGTTGTCACTTCTGCCGAAAGATTCTGCACTGTTGCCTGTAGCTCCTGCATTTGCGCCATCATCTTGTTCAACGCTTCCTGGTCCATGAGTCGCACGCATCGTCTGGTGGGCAGAGGGGTATCCGTGGCCTTGCATGCAAGAGGAAAGCAAAAACTATCGGAGTCGGGCAGGTTAGAGTTAACTAACCTTGCAGCCAACCGTTTTGCAGTCCTCTTTACCAAGCCAACCCGTGCCACCAAACTACCCTCGAAAAGCGGGGTGAACTAGGAAAGTAGCTCTGATACCAGGTGTTATGAGTTGTAATGGAGAGTGCGCGGAATAAGGAATAACGAAGCTGTGACTTAATGAACTGTCAATTACAATGAAGGCACGCGACTATATAGTGAATACCCTAGCTAGGAGGGAACCTCGGGTAACGAGGTTGGGTGCAGGTTTGGCGACGGAAAGCCGAAGGCGACGCGGAGGAGCTTCCATCACCTCCCTTGAAGGCCGCCTTGCCAACCCCCAACACTTTCATTTTGTACCTGCACCCGGAATCCATTTCAGAGATGCTTGTTTGCCGATCTAATCAAGTAGGTCCGCCCTCGGGGTAATGTAACATGCTGTTCTGCAGTCAAGGATCCATGTGTCGAGAGGCGTAGGCTCTACTCCCTTATTGGCAGATGCTTTCTCACTCCCCTCATTCCCTTGCACGTGGAAAACTGCCCTGGAGCATGCTCATAGCCTTTTCCCCCTTCAATTGAGGTCTCTGCTACATGAATTAACTCCATGCTGTTGGTTCTCTTTGCCATCATTATCTCCTTGTCCGAGGGTCCACCACTTGAGGCGTTTCCAACACTTAGCCCACGTGTGCTCCGGCTTCTTATGGTACCAACAAGTTTCCATAAAAAAATTGGTAGCCACCATGATCGTCCTCGTCATCATCTTCTCTATTTCTAAACTTGCTTAACCGTTTCTTGTCATCACGTGAACTTCCATGCTGCCCGTGTTCACCACCTGCTTCCCTGCACTACATAGCTGCCATCTACATCTTGGTTAGCTCAGCTGCCTCCTCCTGAAATCTTCTTGGTTTGCACCCACTCAAGGTTCCACAACTTCTTATTCTGAGGAAGAATGAGCCCGCTGGTAAGCTGCAACCAAGACTTAGGTAGAAATGAAGTATCCATAGACACTTCGTCTGCTCCAAGTAGTAGTTGATGCCTGCGATTTGCAGCTTCGCGTACAACTCTCTCATTTTGTCAAAAACAGGTTCAATCGGCTCCTCCTCACTCAGCCGCAATGCCGACGGTTCACGCTTCAGCATGAGCATTGCAACCATCGAGGTTGGCACATGCAGATCCTTGAGCACTGCCTAAGCTAGTGGTCCACATTCAGCCTTTTCCAGAGAATGCATCATGTGTGATATAAGATTTAGCTCCAAACTCTGCGATAAGAGAAAGTAGCTAGCGATCGCATGCTCGTCTTACTCCTCTTGCAAGACGGAGTCGCTCGGCCTCTTCTCCTCTCCCGTCATCAGCTTCAACAAGCTGACTTGCCAGAAATACAGCTGCATTTTCCGCGCCCAATCATCGTAGCTGTTGCTGTTCAACTTGTCAACCACGAAATTCTTGAGCACCTCTTTCAATAGTGAGCCTGCGGTGGCACGCACTCTCCTTGGCGCTGATCCACTTGTATCTTGGGCTCCACGGGGTAGTCCCCACAGGGTCACCTCCAAGGGTCCTCAGGTGCCTGGCAAAGCGAGCCCCTAACCAAAGTTGCGTGTTTGTAGGGGGGTTTTCCTAAATGTAAGATCAATCGTATATACTTGAGCACTCCTAAATATATTTGCTCAGCATTGACAACAATTGGTTCTTGTAAAGAGACTTCTCTTCACGTCAATACGTTGATAGACAAAATGTTCACTCAAAAGGAATAATTACTATTGAACACAAGCACACAATTTATATATTGCCTAACAAACACAAGGAAAGCACGAAGTAGTTGTTTAACTATACTTTAGGACTTCGCCGGATGTGCCAAGGAAACGGTTGTCGAACTGCTCTTGAATTTGGCTTAATTTGCCTTGGTAAAATAAGTGTCTTCAAGCTGCATTTCTGCCGAATTCCTTTGCTGACTCCCTTCGCAAACGTTCGTGATTTTCCTAGTACAATCATAAACGCTCGTGTAAAATTACCGTTGATTTACGGGTTTTCACTGTTTTTCCCTGTATAAAAAATGTCACGTTATGTGTGCTAACTCTTAGTTCTATGCGGAAGCGATTAACTCAGGACCACAAACATAAACTAGGCTACACTTAACATCACTTGTGAACCAAGTGGGTAGTTATGCCAAGCTTAGCTTGTAGAGTGAGTGTTCTGGTTGAGCAGAGTTTCGGCAGCACTTCGTTGTGTATCTACTCTCGTCAATACGTAGTAGTAGAATGTACGCTTGAAATCATGAAAGCATTGTTGTTTTTAAAGCAAATACAAGCACACATATAAGAGAGGCCCTAGGTACACAAAGGAAACACACAAGGCAGTTGTCTAACTGTCGTCCAGGTCTTCGCTTTGCTGTCATTGAAAAACGGTTGCAAAACTGCTTCATCTGGGCCACGGTTGAGTATTGAACTCCAACGGTGGGGTAGGAGTTCAGATACTGAATGATACGGTCTGCTGCATCCACCTGCTCCTCGGTGGGATTTTGCACCACCCTGGCCAGCTGCCCTACAGCAAAGGAGATGTCCGGCCTGGTGTGTACTGCTGCATAGAGCAAGCTCCCCACCATGGACTGAAAACGAGCCTGCTCCCGCTGATCCACTCCTTCGTTTTCGCCAGCTTTGATGAGTTTAAATCCGGATGAAAGAGGTGTGGTGATCTTCCTTCCGACCTCTATCTCATACTTGCTCCCCATGTCATTGATATACTTCTCCTGGTGCAACTTCACCCATCCATTGCTGACATCCCTCTCGATGTGCATTCCCAGGTAGTAGTTCGCCTCCCCCAGGGTCTTGCACTTGAAGTTTTGCATCAGTTTCTGCTGCACCTTCATCACCTCCTGCTTGCTGCTCCCGAACAGGAGGATGTCGTCCACGTACACCAGGAACATGACGAGGCTTTCCTTCTCCCCCATGAGGAAAAGGCCCTCGTCACATGCACTCGCCCTGAACCCTATCTCCTCTAAAACCGAAGACAGCTTCTTGTACCAGCAGCGTGGTGCTTGTTTGAGGCCATAGATGGCCTTTTTCAGCTTGCACACACTCCCTGTGCCATCCTTATAACCTGGCGGCTGCGACATGAATGCAATGTGAATGCATGCCCCATGTCTCATGGCACATGACACATGGTGGTGGATACCCCATGGCACATGACACATGGTGGTGCATACCCCATGCCATGGCACATGACGCATGGTGGTGCATACCCCATGGCATGGCACATGACACACGGCACATGCGACACCCCTTTTTCCCACACCTCCCACCCCTTTTCGCAATGTGCATGCGACACATGCAGCAATGTGTCACGCCCCTCACCGCACTCGTGAGTTCACCCAATGTACTGAATCCTTTGCAGGTGTGCTTTCTAAAATGCTCCACCCGTGCCCCATCCCATGCTCCATGCCCCATGCACCACCCGTGCTCGATGCTTTGGGCCATGCCCGTTGCCCCATGCCCCATGCACCATGCCCAATGCCCCATGCTCAGGTCTCAGCGAGGCGGATCGTATCGGGCAAGTGCACGAACGCGGGGCAGGTGTGCCTCCTGCCCGACTACATTCTGGCCTCCAAGGACGTTGCTGCGCGGCTGGTGAGAGGGGGAGACGGGGCGAAAGGGCAGGGATTGGTGCGAAGGGCGCAGGTGTGTGGGAAAGAGAAGTAGGATAGATTGAGGCAGGTGTGCCTGGAGCCATACTATATCCTCGCCACCAAGGACGTGGCTGCTAGACTGGTGCGTCTGGGGGCCGGTATAAGGAGGTTGAAAGAGGGGCAGAGCGGTAAGAGGAATGGAAGGGACGGGCGGGTGTGCCTTGTGCCCGACTATAGACTGGTGCGCGGGGGAGAAGGGGCAGAAATAGGGGCGGAAGGTGCAGAGATAGGGAGAAAAAGGTATTGGGGCACGGGAATGCGGGAAAAAGGGGAGGGCAGGTGTTCCTGGAGCCTTTCTATTGCAACTCCGCTCTCTGCCCACCTCGCTCCTGTTCTTTGAATCTCCTCTCCTTCTCTGCTCTCTGCCCTCTCCCCTCTCTCGCGGCCCCCCCACAGCTGCCCCATCTGAAGGCCGCCATGGAGCAGTTTTACGGCAGCAACCCCGCTGTCTGCCCTGACCTCGCCCGCATCATCAACACCTCCCACCTGCACCGCCTGCAGAAGCTTCTCGACCATCCTGCTACCGCCTCCTGTGTCGTGCACGGGGGGCAGAGCGATGTGGAATCGAGGTGAGTCAACGCAGGTCAACTGAGTCAAGGAGAGTCCACAAAGGTGACCATTAGCCTCCCACCTGCACCGCCTGCAGAAGCTTCTGGAGCACCCTGCCACTGCCTCCTGTGCCGTCCACAGGGGGCAGAGCGATGTGGAATTGATGTGAGTCAAGGTGATTCAAGGTGATTCAAGGTGATTCAAGGTGATTCAAGGTGATTCAAGGTGATTCAAGGCGATTCAAGGCGATTCAAGGCGATTCAAGGTGATTCAAGGCGATTCAAGGTGATTCAAGGTGATTCAAGGCGATTCAAGGCGATTCAAGATGATTCAAGGTGATTCAAGGTGATTCAAGGTGATTCAAGGTGATTCAAGGTGACTCAAGGTGACTCAACGTGACTCAAGATGATTCAAGGTGATTCAAGGTGATTCAAGGTGATTCAAGGTGACTCAACGTGACTCAAGGTGACTCAAGGTGATTCAAGGTGACTCAACGTGACTCAAGGTGATTCAAGGTGATTCAAGGTGATTCAAGGTGATTCAAGGTGATTCAAGGTGATTCAAGGTGATTCAAGGTGATTCAAGGTGATTCAAGGTGACTCAACGTGATTCAAGGTGACTCAACGTGACTCAAGGTGATTCAAGGTGACTCAACGTGACTCAAGGTGATTCAAGGTGATTCAAGGTGATTCAAGGTGATTCAAGGTGACTCAATGTGACTCAAGATGATTCAAGGTGATTCAAGGTGATTCAAGGTGACTCAACGTGACTCAAGGTGATTCAAGGTGACTCAACGTGACTCAAGGTGATTCAAGGTGATTCAAGGTGATTCAAGGTGATTCAAGGTGATTCAAGGTGATTCAAGGTGATTCAAGGTGGTTCAAGGTGATTCAAGGTGATTCAAGGTGATTCAAGGGGGTTCAAGGTGGTTCAAGGTGATTTAATGATCACCACCCTATTTTGATGCCCAACCCAATCATTCGTTTACCCAGATCACTCATCTCCTCTTCCACTCTCCTCAGCACACCCTATCTCCCCCACCCTTACACCCACCCCGCTTAATCTCCCACATCCCCCCCCGCATCAGATTCTTCGCCACAACACTGCTGCTCCACATGCCCTGGGATGCCCCTTTTTTATCTGACTGAGAGACAGGTTTTCCACCTTTCCCCTGCAACCATCCCTCCCCCCTCCTCTCCCCCCCCTCCCCCCCCCCTCTCCCCCCCCTCTCCCCTCCCCACCAGGTACTTCGCCCCAACGCTGCTGCTCAACGTGCCCTGGGATGCCCCCATCATGCAGTCCGAGATCTTTGGGCCCATCCTGGCCATCCAAACAGTGAGATCCCTCATCCTAGCCGTCTATTCTCCCTGCCTCCTCGTTCCCCACTCCCAGTCTCCCTGAACGCCCCAATATCTCTGGCTCCACTCCCCACTGCCCCTCCCCTCACCTGTGCCCATACATTCACGACATCTCACCTATTTCCATCTACGCGTGTCATATGCACTCATGCAGACACATCATCAGTACCCATGGCGTGTCACCTGCACGGGGTTTTCTCTCTCCCTATACTGCTGCTACCCCCCTCTCTCTCGCCCCCATCAGATGTCAGGAATCGACGAGCCCATCAGCATTGTCAGCGCACGCCACAAGCCGCTGAGTCCCCAGTGATAGTCGTTTTCTGTCTCCCCATGTGCCTTCTCTGCCCTTCTCTTCCCCCTTCCCTCACCCCCATCAGGTGTTGAGGAATCCACGAGGCCATTGACTCAAGCCTCATCAACGCGTGCGCCCCAAGCATTTCAACCTCCAGCCCAGCGACAATAATTTTCGTCCGCCCATGTGCTTTCTCTGCGCTTTCTTCGTCAGGTGTCAGGAGTCGACGAGGCCATTGAAATCGTCAACGCGCGCCCCAAGCCGCTCGTGGTGATGGTCTTCACGTCCCGGGAGGACGTGCGGCAGCGCTTCCTCAAGGAGACCAGCTCGGGGGCTATGGTGGCCAATGAGCTTATCCTGCAGGTGCGGCGGAGGGGAGAGGGTTCTAGGGGGGAAAAGGGAGAAAGAGAAGTATGGGGTTAGTGAGTATGATCACCTCCCGAGAGGACATGCGGCATCGCGTCCTCAAGAAGAGCAGCTCGGGGGCTATGGTGGCCTATGAGCTTATCCTGCAGGTGCGGCAGAGGGGAGAAGGGAGTGAGGGAAGGGAGGAACGGAGAGGGAGGGGAAGAGAGAAACATGCGGTTAGTGAGTGTGCTTTGCCCCCAGGGCGCGCAGAACCGTTTTATGAGACAGCATTGGGGTGCTCTGGTGGCCAGCAAGCTCATCCTGCAGGCGTAGAAGGGGGAGGGGAGAGGGGTGGGGAGGAGGGGAATGGGGAGCGAGGAGGGGCAGGGAGAAGAAAGGGGGTGGTAGTAAGTGTGTCCTCAAAACGAGAGCCCAAGGGAAGCACCTGCGGCATCTGAGGAACATGCAGCCGGGGCAGGGAAGGTAGGGTGTAGGGAAGGTAGGGTGTAGGGAATGTAGGGTGTAGGGAAGGTAGGGTGTAGGGAATGTAGGGTGTAGGGAAGGTAGAGTGTAGGGAATGTAGGGTGTAGGGAATGTAGGGTGTAGGGAATGTAGGGTGTAGGGAATGTAGGGTGTAGGGAATGTAGAGTGTAGGGAATGTAGGGTGTAGGGAATGTAGGGTGTAGGGAAGGTAGGGTGTAGGGAAGGTAGGGTGTAGGGAAGGTAGGGTGTAGGGAATGTAGGGTGTAGGGAAGGTAGGGTGTAGGGAATGTAGGGTGTAGGGAAGGTAGGGTGTAGGGAATGTAGGGTGTAGGGAATGTAGGGTGTAGGGAATGTAGGGTGTAGGGAATGTAGGGTGTAGGGAATGTAGAGTGTAGGGAATGTAGGGTGTAGGGAATGTAGGGTGTAGGGAAGGTAGGGTGTAGAGAAGGTAGGGTGTAGGGAAGGTAGGGTGTAGGGAATGTAGGGTGTAGGGAATGTAGGGTGTAGGGAATGTAGGGTGTAGGGAATGTAGGGTGTAGGGAATGTAGAGTGTAGGGAATGTAGGGTGTAGGGAATGTAGGGTGTAGGGAAGGGTGTAGGGAATGTAGGGTGTAGGGAATGTAGGGTGTAAGGAAGGTAGGGTGTAGGGAAGGTAGGGTGTAGGGAATGTAGGGTGTAGGGAATGTAGGGTGTAGGGAATGTAGGGTGTAGGGAATGTAGGGTGTAGGGAATGTAGGGTGTAGGGAATGTAGAGTGTAGGGAATGTAGGGTGTAGGGAATGTAGGGTGTAGGGAAGGTAGGGTGTAGGGAATGTAGGGTGTAGGGAATGTAGGGTGTAGGGAATGTAGGGTGTAGGGAATGTAGAGTGTAGGGAATGTAGGGTGTAGGGAATGTAGGGTGTAGGGAAGGTAGGGTGTAGGGAATGTAGGGTGTAGGGAATGTAGGGTGTAGGGAATGTAGGGTGTAGGGAATGTAGGGTGTAGGGAATGTAGGGTGTAGGGAATGTAGGGTGTAGGGAATGTAGAGTGTAGGGAATGTAGGGTGTAGGGAATGTAGGGTGTAGGGAATGTAGGGTGTAGGGAAGGTAGGGTGTAGGGAATGTAGGGTGTAGGGAATGTAGGGTGTAGGGAATGTAGGGTGTAGGGAATGTAGGGTGTAGGGAAGGTAGGGTGTAGGGAATGTAGGGTGTAGGGAATGTAGGGTGTAGGGAATGTAGGGTGTAGGGAATGTAGGGTGTAGGGAATGTAGGGTGTAGGGAATGTAGGGTGTAGGGAATGTAGGGTGTAGGGAATGTAGGGTGTAGGGAATGTAGGGTGTAGGGAATGTAGGGTGTAGGGAATGTAGGGTGTAGGGAATGTAGGGTGTAGGGAAGGTAGGGTGTAGGGAAGGTAGGGTGTAGGGAAGGTAGGGTGTAGGGAATGTAGGGTGTAGGGAATGTAGGGTGTAGGGAATGTAGGGTGTAGGGAATGTAGGGTGTAGGGAATGTAGGGTGTAGGGAATGTAGGGTGTAGGGAATGTAGGGTGTAGGGAAGGTAGGGTGTAGGGAATGTAGGGTGTAGGGAATGTAGGGTGTAGGGAATGTAGGGTGTAGGGAATGTAGGGTGTAGGGAAGGTAGGGTGTAGGGAAGGTAGGGTGTAGGGAATGTAGGGTGTAGGGAATGTAGGGTGTAGGGAATGTAGGGTGTAGGGAATGTAGGGTGTAGGGAATGTAGGGTGTAGGGAATGTAGGGTGTAGGGAATGTAGGGTGTAGGGAATGTAGGGTGTAGGGAAGGTAGGGTGTAGGGAAGGTAGGGTGTAGGGAATGTAGGGTGTAGGGAATGTAGGGTGTAGGGAATGTAGGGTGTAGGGAATGTAGGGTGTAGGGAATGTAGGGTGTAGGGAATGTAGGGTGTAGGGAATGTAGGGTGTAGGGAAGGTAGGGTGTAGGGAATGTAGGGTGTAGGGAATGTAGGGTGTCAATACCCGCCGGGGGTGTCACCCCTACTCGTGCTCATGAATGAATCATCTCTCCTTGTCACCCATCTCGCTCTTCTTCCATCCCCCATCTCTCCATTCTTCACCCCCACAGGCCTGCAACATGGAGTTGCCGTTTCGTGGTGTGGGAGACAGCGGCACGGGGCAGTACAAGGGGCAGTACAAGGGCCGGTACAAGGGGCAGTACAAGGGCCGGTACTCAATCCACCTTCCCATGAAGCCCACTTGTCTTCATCACCATCCACTCCTCCCCCCACCACACTTTCTTCCGTCTCCCAGGCAGTCAATATGGAGCTCCCATTTGGCGGAGTGGGAGAGAGTGGCACGGGGCGGTACAAGGGGCGCTACTCAATCGACTGCTTCAGCAACTGCAAGCCAGTCGACACCAGACGCCTCTCTGGAGACCTGGCGACTCGCTTCCCCCCCAGCACGCGGCGAGGGGAGATGATTCTTAAGGCGGTCTTTAAAGGTGCTTACTGGACGCTGCTGCTGCTGCTGCTGGGGCTTAAGAAGTGCTAGTTGTGGTCCTGAGCCCTATGGCTTGTGAGACATCTGAAAAAGAGGAGGGGGGAGGGGGGTGGTTGTGAAGGCGGTGATTGAAGTGGTGTACTGGACGCTGCTGCTGTTGTTGCTAGGCCTTGCAAAGTGCTAATGCTGGTGCAGGGCCTGTTAGTTGTGACTGCTGCTGTCAAACTGTGTTTGTATGTCTGTAGGCTGTAGTGGGGGTAGCTTACACAGAGTACAACCCTTTTTAGGGTTTCCCTACTTGTACTCATCTTTTATCATAGTGAAGTCATTCTTGCCTGCTAAATCTGACATGGTATTCAGAGCAGGTCCCTCCGTAGGACCGCTCCGTTAGGGCCCACCAACCGTACGAACTGCCCGTTTTTCCTGCCCTGCCCTGCCCAATCGTAACTGCCCTGCCCTCACAGCGTCCTGCACGCTGCCCTGCCCTGGCTTGCGCGCTGCCCAAGGCGCTACCCGCGCGTGCAGCTGTCCGTGCCGCCCGCGACCTGCCTGCGCGTTCTGTCGCCCGCGCCCCGCACGTCCTACTGCCCGCGCGTCCTGCAGGCCGCGCTCGCCTCTGCTGCCCGCGTGCGCCCTGCTGCCTGCGTGCGCCTCTGCAGGCAGCACGCGCACTGCCCTGCCCGCGCTGCCCTTCAGCCCGCGCGCCTGCGCTGCCCGTGCCCTGCCGCGCCCCACACGCCCTGCAGCCCCTGCGCCTAGCACGCCCTGCTGCCCGCGCGCTGCCTTAGCTGCCAGCGTCCTGCCCTAGTTGCCCGCGCACTGCCCTAGCCACTACACTGCCCGTCATGGCAACGCCGCCGGTCTTAGCGGTTGACGCCGACGGACGCCCGTACAGGTTCGGGTTCTGGCTTATGTGCCTGCGCTTGCATCTCCGGCGTTTCATTAGAGATGGCGTCTCCCTACTCGAGCACACGTCGGGGTCACTTCCGGCACCCACGACTCCCACTCAGCCTGCTGCTGACGCTGGCGAGGACGTGCAGAGGCAGTACCAGGCGGACAGCCTTGCCTACAAACAGTGGACGGAGCGCGACGCTGTCGCACTGCGTGCCGTCCGAGCTCTCCTGCCGGTCGACCAGAGGGACCACTTTCGACAGGTGACGTCGGCCCAGACTTTGTTCGACGCTGTTGTTAGACACTACTCCTCCCTCTCTCCTGCCACCCGGCCACTACAGCAGCGGCGTCCGTTGTTAGGGGAGGTGCAGCCGCTGGTCGAGGAGGAGAGTGTAGGTACCTGTACGCCTGCTCCAGCAGGTGGTGCCACTAGTGGAGGCGGTGGTTCTAGAGGTGGTCAGTAGCAGCAACAGCGTCAGCCGGAGACCCCCTCGCCGAAGCAGCTTCGGGAGTGGGTTTCTCAGCGACGCGTCCCTGGTAGTGTAGAGGCTACTTGTCTAGGTGCCGGTGAGCCTGCTAGCACACGTGCAGCTCCTGTGGAGGCTTTGCACACCTTCACGCTTGACTCAGGCACGACTCGCTGCTTCTTCCGCGACTGCACCACAGTCACCCCGCTCACTGCACCTGTCCCGGTCAGTCTGGCTGACCCCTCTGGGGGCCCAGTCGTAGCACGTGCCTCCACCGTTCTCCCATGTCCGGCAGCCCCTTCCGGCTCGCTTGCAGGTCTCCACCTCCCCTCGTTCACTACGAACTTGGTGAGTAACGCTGTCCTCCAGGACCAGTTTGTCACTGTGACTACTCCTGGATGTGAGCCTGTGGCGATCAGTACGGACTCACGGACTGGCGCCCACCTCGTCACGTTCACTCGGAGACCCGGGTCTGGCCTGTACACACTGACCACTTAGTCTGCACAGGTAGCTGCGTCGGGTCAGTTATCTGCGTCCTGTTCGTGTCGCCTTCTCACGCACCCGTCTCTCCTCTGGCACCACCGTCTTGGTCACCCCTCCCTGTCGCGCCTCCGTGGCATGCACTCTCGTCTCCTTGTCTCTGGCCTTCCCAGGTCCCTGCCCCCGCTCCCGCACTCGCTTGCACCGCCGTGCCTTCCCTGCGTCGAGGGGCGGCTTCGCGCCGCTCCTCACTCCAAGATGCCATCTCTACGTCCACAGCTGCTATCCACTGAGAGGCCCAGGGTTCCGAGACTGCCTTAGCGTAGGTGCGATGGGTCGGGATGTCAAGAGCGTTTGGGTCATCCTCAGTGGCTAGCAGCATGGCGCAGATATGAGGAGTAGTGGTCGCAAGGAAAGCCAACTCGTACTGCCTGTCCTCCAAGACGTCACTGCCAACAGTAGGAGCACCCCCGACGGACAGGGGATGGGCAGGAGAAGAGACCAACTAAGTGGCGAATTCAAGGTGGGCGGTGGAGGAAAAATCAGCGACAGCAGTGCCAAGAGCAGAGACGGATGGAGGAGGAGCAGTGGGGTCGGTAACAAGGGAGGAAAGGATACGAGAGACTATAGGGCGAGCCTCCTGGAGAACGTCAGAGAACGGAGGAGAGGAGAGTGTGGCGGAGCACGAGAGACACAAGAACGGAGGAGCATAGAGTGGACACCAGGAAGGGGAGACACGGGGCGAGCACGAGAGGGACGACGGACCTAGTGGTGGGAGGGAGGAGTCGGGCCAGGAGACAGAGGAGGAGACGGTTGTGAACGCGGAGGAAGACGAGCCGGAGACGAGACCGGGGGAGGGAGCGTGGGACCATAGACTGGGATAGACGGTGGGGGTGGAGCAGGTGGTCGGTCTGTCGAGCCAGTAGAAAGACCAAGAAGGCGAAGTGCAGACACATGCGACGATGGCAGCTGCTGCTGTGGCAACTACTTCGGCTGCTGCGGCGTAGGATGTCCCGCGCGCGCGGCATCTCCGGTACCAGTACCTCCTGTGGGAGCACCCCCTAGAACCAGCACTCCCTGCGTCAGCACCCCCAGAACCAGCACCCCCAGAGCCGGCACTCATAGTGGCAGCAACCCTTTAACCAGCACGCCCAACAGCAACACCTCCAGAGTCCACAGCGACTGGCTGCGGTGGCGGCAAAGGCTGCGGCGGCAACGAAGGCTGCTTAGGCGACTGTGAAGATTACGCCGGTGACGAAATAGACTGTGGCAACGGCTTGGGGGGGGGGGGGGGGGGGGGGGGGGGGGGGACGAGGGGGAGGTTGCGATGGTGCCGACACAAGAGGCGCACCCCCACTGGCCTCGAGAGTCAGCAGACTCCCCCACAGGCGGAAAGGGGGGTGACGTGCGACACACCAGAAGGGGAAGGACGTGTAGCTAGGGGAACGAGCGGAAGAGTGGGAGTGAGAAAGAGGGGAGGGCAGCGGACCGGGTGCCTTGGTGAGGGAAGCGAGTATAGAAGAAGACTGACTCATCAAATGTGACGTCACGAGAGCGGAGGAAACGGTGAGACGAAGGGTGGTAGAACAGTCAGTCAGGGGGGTCGAGGGGAAACCAAGGAAGACACACGGGAGAGTGGGGGCTAAGAGCTTGTCAGAGCGAGGGTCGCAGACGTGGGCAAGGCAGCCCCAGTCGTGAAACGCAGCCACAACTCCAGGGGACCCAGTCCAGAGGAGGGTCGGCGAAACCTCCAGCCATTAGACACGAGTCAATAGGTTAAGTTGGTGCGCGGCGTAGCGAACTGCAAACGGCCACAGAAAATGGAGGGCACTGCATGAATCATGGAGGTACGAGCGATCTCCATGACCAAGCCAATGCGACGCTCAGCTACCCCATTCTGTTGCGGCGAGTCTTGGAGCGAGTACGTCTAAGTGATGCCCTACGTACGACAGAACTGGCCAAGGTGACCAAAGGCGAACCCACCAGCACGGTCGGAGTGCGGGCGAAGCACGTGCTGGGCGCGCTGGGTGCGGACGGCTATTAGCCACAGGAGGAGAACGTCAAACACGTCAGCCTTCCACTCCAAGCGAAACACCGTGGTGTAACGGGAGTAGTCGTCCACACCGACCAGAAAGAAGCTCTCCCGACGTGGCACAAGGACGGGAGAAGGGCCCCAGACGTCCATGTGCAAGGTCTGAAGAGGCGCAGTGGTGGGAGGAAACGAGGAGGAGTGAGGGGCGGAGCGCTGCCTGCCCTCGACACGAGGGGTGCACAGCGGCACAGACGAGGGAGGGAGAGCGGGGAGCGACGACGGGAGACCAGAGACGAGATTGTGTTGAGTGATGTGACTGAGACGCAAGAGGGCGCCCAGACAGTGGTGTCACAAGAGCGACATATGAGTGAGCGGCTGACATGAGCACGACACAGCTACCTAACCAGACGCAGGAACCTGGGTGGACGCAGTGTGCAGCAAGAAAATACCTGACGCTAGGTCCCAGGGAAACATGGTAAGAAGTGCCCCAGTGATAGCGTCTGTACAGGTCGCGAACGGCTCGTGTCCAGGAAACGTGGTGGTGACGTTGAGGTCCTGAAAATGACCGACACCCACAAAGTTTCTGAAGAACGGAGGGATGTGCAGACGTGTGAGGGAGCCAGAGGGGACAGCCGCACACGGGAGTGAAGTAGCACTGCGCGCGAGGACCAATCCCAAGGAATGGTCTGCCAAGGAGACTGCGACGGGTGCTGGAAGCGGCGAGAGGGTGGTGTGGTCGCGGAGAAACACCAGGACGTGCCGGAATCAAGAGTGAAGGTGAGGGACGTGTCGGTAGTGGACGCACCTGGACAGGAAATAGCAGAGGAGCATACACTAGACATAGCAGGAGATCCTAGTACTAGCAAACATGAATAATAAATGTGGTATTACTACATGGCAATCAAAGCATATCTTATCTGAGACATATCCATATCAAACACAGGCAAACCACTGCGTAACAACGCAAGCCATTCCGAGAGGGACACCGTATGCCCAAAGTGGGCGTGGAAGAGGTCGTCAAGCCAACGGAAGCAGTGCGCAGTGGAGTGACCGGTGCGCCCGCAGACCGTGCTCCGCAGTTGACCAGACTGAATCTGGTACTGGCAAAGCCCGAGGGGGAAGCTATACGACGCCCAGCTGTCAGAACCTCCATCGTGGCCACCGCTCTCCGGGCCAGCAGGTCCCCACTGTCGCTTGGAGACCCGCTGCTCGAGCTGCTCATGCTGCTACGGCTGCTGCTTCTGTTGCTGCTGAGCCACCGTCGCACCCGCGTCAGCACTAGCACCACCAGTCCCACTAGAAGTAGAGCCAGTACCCTCAGACGTACGTGCACCCCCCGGCGTACCAGCACCTCCGCCTCCTCCACGATCACGACCACCCCTGCACCGTTCCCGCCCACCAGAGGGAACAGAGGCGGCTGCGACCTCCGCTGTAGCAGTAGGCTCAGGAACAGCAGCAGAGGTAGCTAGGGTATGGAATTGGGGCGGAGCGCACCCCTCAAAGATGTGGGGGACTACCACACCAGTAGTAGAGGCGATGGTGCAAATGCGGGTCTCGATCTCAGTGAGACGAGTCTCAAAGAGATCGATAGTGCGGTCCATGGGGTGCATGGCAAGGAGAGTGTCGCGGGCAGGCGCGAGGCGGTCAGGGAGGTGGGTCGCTAGGAAGTGCTGGGTGGCATACTTGGGGGGGGGGCGTGCTCAGCAAGGTCATCAGTAGTGCAAGCTGCGCGGAATCTAGCGTCAAGCAAGCGCAGGTGGGTTGTGAGGTTAGCGGCAGTTGAGAAAGCATGGAGATCAGAGAAGAAGAGGGCATGCGGAGGCGCCCCAAAGTAGCAGAGGTGGGAGTGGAGTAGCGAGCAACAATAGAATCAAGACACGCCTTTGTCGTCTCGTCATGGTGAAAGTGCACCTTCTCGGCCGGCGGCTGGAGGCGACTAAGAGCAAGGCGCGCAGCATCGTCACGCGACTCCCAAACTGAGTGCGCAAGCCGGGGGGCCACGTGGTGAACCTCCCGCTCCTCCGACGTGGGCTCAGTAGCAAGAGAAGCAGGACGCTGGGGGGTATGTAACTTACCCAACATGTGGGCGTACACGGAGACGTCGTCCTGGCGCTAGCTCCGAACGTGGAGCTTGACGGAGAGTAGTTATGCGTCAAAGTCGATCTCCCCGCCCCTCTGCATCAAGCCGCAGTGCGAACTTAGACACCATGACAGGAATGAGCAGGGGCACAGCTGCAGCGGATGAGCGGGGACAGCTACAGGCGGAGGAGGAGACAGTCAGAGGCATGCAGGCAGACAGCGGGCGGCATAGCAGGCGCGGCGACGTCGAGCAGTAGCAGGCGCGGCGGGCAGCAGGGACAGAGGGGGGCGCGGTGGCAGCAGGCGTGTGCGCGGGAGTGGGCGAAGCGCGGCAGGCACGGCAGGAGCGGGCGGCGGCAGGTGCGGGCGACAGGCGCGGGCGGCGGCAGGTGCGGGCGCGGCGGCAGCAGGCGCGGCGACAGGCGCGGGCACGGAGGTGGTAGGCGTGGCAACAGGCGCGGTAGGCGTGACGGCGGCAGGCGCGGGCGGCGGCGGCGCGGGCGCGACAGGGCCGCGACGGGGCAGCAACGAGGCCGCGGCCAGGTGACGATGGAACCTCGACGAGGCGGCGGCGGGGCCGCAACGGAGCGCGACAGAGCCGCGGTGGGGTGTTAGAGGGGAGGGGCACTAGAGGGGTGGCGCTAAAGGGGGAAGGGGGTGACCTAGAGGAGGGGGCACGAGGCAGCTAGGGAGGTAGGAGGGGCGGAAGCGAGGGATCTACTCGTGTTACCATGTTAGAAACAGAAATGAATGGCGAGGACATACAAAGAGGGGGGTATATCTAACATCCCATACCCTCTATATGACAACCCAACCTAGCCTACAAAGCACGCAAGCCTACAAAGCACGCATGCAGATACATATATGTACGTTGACACTCCTCCCCAATCACGCGACCTACACCACTGGATACGCTTCAAATGCACAGAGGTGCCAAGAGGACCTTCATGCCACGGAGGCAATCGTTGCCAACACAGCTGGTGAAAAACGTCATAGGCTGACTGCCGCCAGAGGGAACTAGCGGGTTCAATGCCTTCTCCTACGTGTATGCCGATCCGTGTATTGCCATTACAGCTTCACATTAAAACCATCAACCTTTTGATATTCCAATTCCCTTTGCCTGACATTCACCACATCAATTTCTTCAGAAACGGGATATGGAGCCAACAGTAGCGCGCCTTTATAACATAACACGTCTGCATCAGTTGAAACTTGGCGAAGTCGAAGGCGATTTTTGTCCGAAGACCTGCACTGGGAACGCCTGATTGATCCTAAGGAAGGGTTACAAATGGAAAACCTGGGGGTTGTGGGTGCACTCACCCGCTACTTAACAATCCCTTTTCTCCTAGTGGTCTAATGGCTGGGATTCTGAGATGGTATGAGAGCAAAGGTCTCGGGTTCAGGGTCCGTATCGTTGCCGCTGTGCTGTGTCCTAGGCCATCCCTGTGAAGGGGAGGGGTGTCAAGACCTGCACTATGGATGTCTGATTGATAATAGAGAATGGTTATATGTGTAGAGCCTGGGGGGTTATGGGCGCACTCACCCGATACCTTTTTTTTTTTTTTTTTTTTTTTTTTTTTAACGGGTGGTAAAGGAACAGTAATCGAACGGTTCATATCGCTAGTGTTTTTCAAACGACGTATACGGCATCACACAGTTATTCGCGAATATGATTGCGAATATCAACGATTGCAATAAAGTCACTATCGCAGGTTCGTTATGTCAAACATTGTATGTTTACATTGTGTAGGCTATAGTGGGTTTAGCCTTAGGGGGTACACAAACTTAGGGTTTCCTACTTGTACCCAACTTTGTGCTAGTTCATTCATTCCTGTTTCGTTCTTTCTTACATGGTATCAGAGCCAAGAGCATAGACATCAATGTTCTTCTTGATCATATCAAACCAGCGGGGCAGCTCAGTGGCAGCAGGGAATTGAGTGCGCCAAGCGTCGTCGAGGCGGGAGAAGCAGCGCTGCGCGGTGTGCGCCCTCCCACACGTCTGGCCAGTGCGGTCACCAGTGCGGATGACGTACGTGCAGCTAAGGCCACCCCCCCCCCCGTGCTGAGAGTACCACTCACGAAGCTCCTGGGACGACGGAGTGTGCTGCTGGCTCTGGCCACCGCCAGTGCCTCCACGACCACCACCGCCGCCGCCACCACCTCGACCACCACCGCCCCTGCCACATCCGCGTCCACCGCCTCCCCAACCACCGCCCCCACCCCGGCCACCTCCTTCGCTGCTGCCGCCTCCACCCCCACCGCTGCCACTAGCTCCGCCAGCCCCGCCACCACCCCCACCGCCGCCACCGCCCCCACCACCACCTCCCCCGCCGTCACCTCCACCTCCCTTGCCCCCTTTTCCCTTGCCGCTGCGGCGCCAGCTCGGAGCAGACGCAGTCCCGACCTGCTCAGTACCAACTAGGTCGACAGCAGCAGCAGAGGCGACAGAGGGGAGAAGGGGGGAAGGGGAACACCCCTCGAAGAACGGGGTGCGGGGGTCGCCACGAGAGGCAGCTACAGCGACTATGCTAGTCTCAGCTGCAAGCAGTTCCTTCTCGAGCAGGTCAACGGTGAGCTCAGTGGGGCAGCGAGCGAGGAAGTGGTCCCTGACCGCACGAAGAGAGTCAGGGAGACGGGTGACAATGCTATTCTCACTGCCATGTATGTGTTGTCTACTAGTGGAGAGGGTGCTCAGTACCTGCGTGTTCCGCCCGACCCGGGCATTCGGACCAGTGAGGCTGCCGTTCTAGGTGCTTGCGTGTCTGCTGCCCCAGGTGCTGGTGAGGCTGCTGCTCTAGGTGCTTGCGTGTCTGCTGCCCCAGGTGCTGGTGAGGCTGCTGCTCCAGGTGCTAGTGAGTCTGCGCCCCCTGGTACTGAGTCCACTGAGGCACTGCACACCTTCACACTAGACTCAGGAGCTTCTCGCTGTTTCTTTCGTGACCGCACTGCCCTTGAGCAGCTTGCTCGGCCAGTTGCTGTCTCCCTTGCTGACCCCTCTGGGGGTCCGGTCATTGCGACCTCCTCCACTGTCCTTCCTTGTCCTGCGGTTCCGTCGGGCACACTGTCAGGTCTCCACCTCCCCTCGTTCTCTACGAACTTGGTGGCAGGCTGTGCGCTCCAGGACGGGGGTGTCCACCAGTTCACCCCTGCCTACGAGCGCGTGACACACTGCACGTGTGCTCGGACGGGCCGTCACCTGGCTACCTTCACTAGGCAGCCGGGGTCGGACTTGTACACACTGACCACTGAGTACCCTCAGGTAGCTGCGTCTGCGTCTGCGTCAGGTCAGCTGTCTGCCCCCTGCTCGTGTCGCTCTCTGGCGCACGAGACTGTCCTCTGGCACCACCGCCTTGGTCACCCGTCAGTGCAGCGCCTTTGTGCCATGCACAAACGGTACCTTGTCTCTGGTCTTCCCCGGGTACTCCCTCCCCTCCCACCCTCGCCTGCTCCTCCCTGTCTTCCTTGTGTCGAGGGGCGGCAGCGCGCCGCTCCTCACTCCTCCTCGTTTCCCCCGACGACTGCTCCCTTGCAGACGCTCCACATGGACGTGTGGGGCCCAGCCCGCGTCCGTGGACAGGGTCAGGAAAGGTACTTCCTGATCGTTGTTGACGACTACTCGCGCTACACCACGGTCTTCCCCTTGCGCACCAAGGGTGAGGTCCCTGATGTTTTGATCCCTTGGATCCGCGCTTCTCGTCTCCAGCTCAGCGAGCGGTTCCGCTCGGACTTTCCGGTCCTGCGTCTGCACTCAGACAGAGGTGGGGAGTTCTCCTCCGACCTCTTGGCAGCCTACTGTGCGGAGCACGGCATCCGCCAGTCGTTCACGCTTCCGGCCTCTCCACAGCAGAATGGGGTTGCTGAGCGCCGCATTGGCTTGGTCATGGAGGTCGCTCGTACCTCCTTGATCCATGCGGCTGCCCCCCACTTTCTGTGGCCGTTTGCGGTCCGGTACGCTGCGCATCAGCTCAACCTCTGGCCCCGTGTCTCCTTGCCGGAGACCTCGCCCACACTGCTGTGGACGGGGGAGGTTGGCGATGCGTCGCGTTTCCGGGTCTGGGGATCTCGAGCTTTTGTCCGCGATACGTCCGCGGACAAGCTCTCCTCCCGCGCTGTTCCTTGTGTCTTCCTTGGCTTTGTCCCCGACGCGGCTGGTTGGCAGTTTTACAGCGCCACCTCGCGCCGTGTCCTGCCCTCTCAGGACGTCACTTTTGACGAGTCGGTGCCCTACTACCGCCTCTTCCCCTACCGCACTGCCCCGCTCCCCCCCCCCGCCTCTCTTCCTTGCGCCAGGTGCCGCTGTGGTAGACCCCCTCCCCCCTCAGGGTGCCGCTCCCTCAGGTGTGTCCCAGGTAGACCCGGTTGAGCCTGTCGAGGTAGCTGTCGACTCTCGTCCTACTAGGGGTGCTGAGCCTGAGCGTGCGGAGCCTGGGGGTGCGGAGCCTGGGGGTGCGGAGCCTGAGGGTGCGGAGCCTGGGGTTGCGGAGTCTGGGGGTGCTGAGCCTGGGGGTGCTGAGCCTGGGGGTGCTGAGTCTGGGGGTGCTGAGCCTGGGAGTGCTACACCTGGAGGAGCTCTCTCCTCAGAGCAGTTGCGTGAGTGGTACTTACAGTACTGCAGCCTCAGGAGAGGTGCTTCTGGAGCTAGGAGCGCTGCTGGAGCTGGTGCTAGTGCTTCCCCTCCTAGGCGGGCACTGCCGTCTCCCCAGCAGCTCCGAGAGTGGTACGCTCGGCACTGCAGTCTCCGGAGTGGCGCTCCTTGCGTCGCGGACCCTGGTGCTGGAGCTGCTGGCGGTGCTGCTGGTACTGGGACTACTGACGTTGCTGGAGGTGCTGCCGGTGCTGCTGGTGCTGGTGCTGCTGGCGCTGCTGGAGGTGCTGCTGGTGCTGGAGCTGCTAGAGGTGCTGCTGCTGCTAGCGGTGCTGCTGGCGCTGCTGGAGGTGCTGCTGGTGCTGGTGCTGCTGGAGGTGCTGGTGCTGCTGACGCTGCTGGAGGTGCTGCTGGTGCTGGAGCTACTGGAGCTGCTGGAGGTGCTGCTGCTGCTAGCGGTGCTGCTGGCGCTGCTGGAGGTGCTGCTGGTGCTGGTGCTGCTGGAGGTGCTGGTGCTGCTGACGCTGCTGGAGGTGCTGCTGGTACTGGAGCTACTGGAGCTGCTGGAGGTGCTACTGCTGCTGGCGGTGCTGCTGGCACTACTGGAGGTGCTCGTACTGGAGGTTCTGGAGCTGCTGGGACTGAGCCTGCTGAGGGGGTTGGAGCTGGAGGTGCTGAGCGGCCGCGGCCGTACTACGTTCCGCTCCTTCAGCAGGTTCTTGGTCTCCCGACCTCTACTGGTCCTCCTCCTCCCCTACTGAGTTCACCGTCTGTCCAGTCGCAGACACAGTTACAGTCTGCCTCTCCACTGCCTGCTCCTTCTCCTTACACTGCGCCGACGAGTAGTCTTACAGAGCGTCGTGAGCCTGAGTCTCGTCCTCCGTCGCCTGAGTCTAGTCCTGCGTCTTCTGAGTCTCGTCCAGAGTCGCCTGTCCGCACTGCCCGCACTGGTCGTCGTGCTCCACGCCAGCGTCCTCCTCCTGTCCTTGGCACTCACTATATGACCCTGCGTCCTTCCACTGCTCCACAGCGCGTCCCTCTGCCGTCTCCTCCTGCGTCCTCTCTTCCTGACGTTGCCGACCCGCCGTCAGACCTTACTCGTGCTGCCAGTTCTACTGTCGCGCGTCTCCTTGCCACCGTTGTCACTG